CCCCCCAAGGGGGGAGCAGCCTTACCAGGCCACAGAAGATGACAATGCAGCCACTCCTGATGAGATCTGATAGACTAAGATCAGAAGGAAGGAGAGGGGGACCTCCCCTATCAGTGGACTTGGGGAGGGGCATGCGTGAAGAAGGGGGAGGGAAGGTGGGATTAGGAGGGGAAGAGGGTGGGGTTTATGGGAGGATACAAAGTGAATAAAGTATAATTAATAAATGTTAAAAAAATAAATATGCCAAAGAGAAGAAAAGAAAAAGGGAAAAAATAATGCTCTCATATGATCAAAGAGTTAATTTTTTTATTATTTCAGAGCCCTAATGATCTAACTGTCTCTGGAAATACCATTACAGACATCCAGAGATAGACTTTACTAAGTTCTTAGATTTTTCTGTCTGATCAAATTGAAAATTCAGGTTAATCATCCTTTACTCTGAACCCTATCTGCTCACCACCTCAGGCACCTTAAACTTTTCATGTCCATTCTTCCCTTTATTTGGAATGTCTCCCTTTCCCATTTCCTGCTCCCAGGCAAAGTGATCATGCTATTTATTTTACAGACACATTGGTATTTCTTAACTGATGTGCCCACCAAAAATATCAGTCTGTGTATCCACAGGGAAGTTTTTTTTATAACATAATATGGCACAGGAATGGAAGATGTGTCAATTCAGACACTAATAAAATAAAGACTGGGCCCTACCCTAATGCAAAACCCCAACAGTTGGGATGTTGTGTAGAGGAGGCTGGCAATAATGATTTGCACTTATGTCCCCTCAATCCTTATCTTCTCTGAAAAGTAAGGCTGCACAGAGGTCTTTAGAGCAAACCATTGGGCCTGAAGGACTAGAGTTGCTCACAGAGGCTGATTTCACACATTCTTTGATTTCAATTATTATTATCCCGAAGATACACACAGACATCAAACTTTGTCTGTCCTTCATGATTTGTGCTGCAGTGCCATAATCTCCTGCTGCTGTTCTAACCAACTCTTCAAACTGAAACTGAATATTAAGAGAGAGAGAGAGAGAGAGAGAGAGAAAACTAAAATAAAACCCACCTTTTGTTCTGTATTCACCATCCATTCTAGTTTTGTTTCTGTTGGTTTGATAAAATGTTCTGATGGAAAAAAATAAACTTGGGGAAGAAGAGATTTATTTTAGTTCAATTCCAGGTTATAATCTATTGCTGTGGAGAAGCCAAGGCAAGTACAAATATTAAACAATCAGATCACATCCACAGTCAAGAGCAAGGATCAATAAAGCAATAGATGTGTGCATGCTTAAGAGTGGTTCGTGTACTCTCTACAGTAATACAGTTCAGAGTCTTCTGCCTATGAAATAATGCCACATATAGGGAATGAGTTGATAGCGAGATGGGCCTCTGGGCATGACTCTCTTGATGATGGTATTTAATTGATGTGGGATAACCTGTCCATTCTCGGTGGTATCATTTCCTGGCAATGAACCTGAACTATATGTTTAGAAATAGTATGCTGAGCACTTAAATGTATTTAACAGTCTTTTCTGAAAAAAAAAAAAGGCATAATGTGATTAGCTGCTTCAGGCTCTTCCTGCTTTGCATTCCCTGCCATGATGGCCTGTGTCTCAACCTATGAGCTAAAAGAAACCTTTTTTTTCCTTAAGTTTTTTTGTCAGGATATTTTGTCACAGCAACAGAAAAGAAATTAAGACACTCCTGGATGAGTAAAGGAGCTTTTTCGTAAAGCTGGAGCTTCCCTAGTCTGCTCTGTTTTCCAGCAGCACAGAGCATGTGCTAGACACACATCAGGCTCTAGCCAAAAGGAACTGAATATCCAACTCTAAAATGAAGACTTGAACTCTCTTGTTTACAAATTCTACTTCCACACATTAGATAAATACAAGTTCATTTATTTAGTGCCTTTTCTTCCAAGTCCAGTTGAGAGGGTAGATATTTCAAGTCTTTGTATGTCACTTGTGCCAGGTTGACCCTGAACTCATGATTCTTCTGCCTCTGTCATACAAGAATGAGATCAGAAGTATGTGTCACCATGCCTATTATCTCTAAGTAGTTTTGGTTTGCATATCCTTGTTGGCTAAACATTTTGGATACTTCTTTGTGTTCATTTGCAGGTGCTCTTTTGTAAATTTTATTTTATTTTTTATGTATGTGTTTGAGTGTATGTTTCTATGTGAATGTATGTGCAGATGTGTTTGTGCCTAAAAAAGCCAGAAGATGCCATTGGATCCTTGTAGCTGGAGTTACAGGTGATTGTGAGTCATCCAATATGATCACTAGGACCTGAACTCTAGCACTCATGATTGAACAGTAAGCTGTGCTGACCACTGAGCAATCCATACAGTGCTCTTTTGTACTTCTTCTGCGAACTGCCTATTAGTTTAAGTTGTCTATTTTTAATTAGATGATTTATTATTCTGTTATGCCTAAAGGCCCATCTTCCAGTTGATCCTAGATTCCATCAGATTGACAATTAACCTTACTCATCATAGGGAAGCAAAGAAGCTTATTGTAAGATAGAGAACAGCGTAAAACAGTAGCAGAAAAGTAGCTATCCTGCATATAACCTGGAGCCTACAATATTTGAGCAGGCAGTTGTGTAGAAGATGTGGTCACTGCCTGCTACCCTCTTTGGGAAAGTTTTCTTCCCTGGTCTCAAGTCACAAGAAAACCAAGCAGAGGGTCAGAATGCTTATTATTGTAATCAAATAGCTCCAGGAAACTTTTTGTATTTCAAGCATAGACCGCCTCCTCTCAGGGCTATGGCTAAATAATCATGGGCACTGCTTTGTGTCTTGTGTCAGCAGTGACAAGAAGATAAGAAAGGAAAATAAGAAGAAAAGTAAAAAGAGCAAGGAAGGAGGGGGTGGGATTACTAGTTAAGTGGCATGTTAGAAAGCAGGCCATTCCTCCACCTTCACCCAGAAAACAGTGTCCAACAGGGTGTCACCCACTTTACCTTCCCCTAACCATTTTAGATAAGGACAAAGATTGAAAACTGTCACTACCTATAGAAAAAAAAATAGATTTTCCAGATCTGAGCTCTTCTATTCCTGGGCAGACTATGACAACTTGATCATTTTCTATCTCTCCCCACTCCATGGCTTTATGCCAGTTGTGTTTATGTTCATTTCCAGGCCCACTCAGACCTATTTCTTCCTGAGCCTGTAGCCTTATATTAATCTCTGAGATTATTCTTCCGTATGTCCAATTTATTTTATGAATAGAGTAGTTCACTTCCCACTGTTTTGTTTGTAGCTCCTCTTTCTCAATGTTTTACAAGGTTTACTCCCTATTCTGTCCTAGCAACTGATGACCCATAACTTCCAGAGGCCGATGCAGTTACTCAGTGAGTGAAGCAGGTTTTTTACAGTCTTCTTTCCCCCAGTCACCTCCTTCACCCATACCACTGCCACTTTTCTGACCACTCCCCTATTTTGAAGTGCCTTATACAAAGTGAAATGGAGGCAAAAATGATGACAAACAGGATTCGTGCTTTTGTAAGGTCATGAGTAACTGTAGATTGTTATTGTTTAAAAAATAAAAAGGATAGATTAAAACAATATTCTTCTATTTTGTGTGAATCCCACCTGTCCCTGTTCTTTTCTCCCCAACAAACATGAGCTTTGAGACTGCTCTTCTTTTCCTCAAATATAATAAAATCAGTATATCCTCGTTTGCTGGAATGGTACCCATGCTTCACATACCCAGATTTTCCTTCTGAAAAGCTTCCCTTCACTGCCCCAGTCCTCCTCCATCTTTTAGTTCTTACATGAGGATAATGAGTTCCCCTACTTCTCTTTTTATTTTCACTTTGATCCAGAATCTCCTGTATCCTTAGTGTCCTTTAATGAGTGTGTGTGTGTGTGTGTGTGTGTGTGTGTGTGTGTGTGTGTGTGTCTATGTCTGTGTTGGTGTGTGTGTGTGATGTTCTGGAACTTCTGATGTTCCTGCCTCTAAGGTGCTAAGATTGCAGGAAATCACCACCATGTCCAGGTTCTAGCAATTGAAACCAAGGTTTTGTGCATGCTAGACAAGTACCCCACTAACTCAGTTGTGACCCCAGATCCTCTTGGTTTCTTTATTACCCAAATACAGACTAAGCCCCCAAGGAGATATTTTCAAGTTGGAAGAATGTTTTAATTCATTGATCAGGTTTTATGTATTTCTCTTGGTGCACTCCCAGCTACATAAAGAACTCTGCACATTCCACCAAACACTAGTTTTATCAAAGATCTTTTTGTCATTAACAATGCCTTCCCAAGCCTCAAATTCCTCATTTATAGGATTTCTTTTTTCTGACAATACCTAATTCTTCCTACCTTCCTGGACATAGAAGAAATTGAATTAATCATCTCTGCCCTTTATTCCTCTAAAGCCTTAAATGCACAGGAAGTCAATACCATTTGTGATAGTCTTTTCTTTTTGCCATTATTTAGTTTATTTAGTTGCATGGTCTTCAAAGTGATTCCTTGTCTTTGGTCTTTCAAATCAATATTTCAGAAGTCTCAACATTTCAATTAAAGCTACACATATAATACCATGAACTGTTACAGACTTTAAGATCTGCTAAACTCAGGTCCAGAAAGCCAGGAACAACATCCTCTACTTCTTTGTCCCCCTGTTCTGTTATATAGAACTAGACACATTGTGGTAACATAAATTTTAGAGCTGAGCTCAACAGTTGCACTACCTGGTTTGAATTTTGGCTCTACTACTGAAAACTGCATGATCTTAGGGGTGTCCATTAGCCTCTCTCAGCTTTGTCCCATGGAAAGACTATTTACCAACCAGGGTCATTGTTAATATTAAATAACTAAATATGAGTAAAGTGTTTTAAAAAGTGCCCAGAACACAGCAATCTACAAACATGAACTTCTTGGATAAGAAGCCACAAAAGAATGAAAAATTCAGTTTCTGAATTACCAATAGATGCTCCTTCATGCTCCTAAACTATAACCCTGCCTCTCTGTGTTTCTCATTTCTTGTGTGTAGGTTCCCACTCTGATGATGGACACACAGTTTTCTGAGTTCACACCAGATATCACTCCCATCATGTTAGCTGCCCACACCAACAACTATGAAATAATCAAACTGCTTGTCCAAAAGAGGGTCACTATCCCTCGGCCCCACCAGATCCGCTGCAACTGTGTGGAGTGTGTGTCCAGTTCAGAGGTGGACAGCCTGCGTCATTCAAGGTCCCGACTGAACATCTACAAGGCTCTGGCAAGCCCCTCACTCATTGCCTTATCAAGTGAGGACCCCATCCTCACTGCCTTCAGGCTGGGTTGGGAACTCAAGGAGCTAAGCAAGGTGGAAAATGAGTTCAAGGCTGAGTATGAAGAGCTCTCCCAGCAATGTAAGCTCTTTGCCAAGGACCTGCTAGACCAAGCTCGAAGCTCCCGAGAGCTGGAGATCATCCTCAACCATCGAGATGACCACAGTGAAGAACTTGACCCACAGAAGTACCATGACCTGGCCAAGCTGAAGGTGGCAATCAAATATCACCAGAAAGAGGTAAGCTGAGATCATCTGTTTCATGAGAGCTTAAAGCTCTCATTTTCCACTGCATCAAAGCAAGACTCAGTATTTTACTACCACTTAAGACTTCAAACATGTATGTGGTTGGATAGACCTCAAAAACAGTTAGATCCTTTCAGCAGAGATGCAGACAGCCTCTGTATATTTCTTTTGTCACCAAAAGGGTACCTTGAAGGGAAAAGCATTTTATCATTCAAGAAATACTTGTCAAGTACTGTTCTCAGTGTTTGGAATACAAAAGATAAACACCAGTCCTCTTTGTTTGGAGATGTTCTGGAGATTTAACTTTAGTGTATTTGGATACATAAAATTTATAAAGATTTTTATATTATGCTATAATATGAATCCACTTGATCACTGATTATTTTACCGTTACAAACCTCTCTGTATATGCAGCTAATTTCTATTTGGGACAAAAATAAATGAAATCTAACTCTATTTCACTATATTATTTGTGACAAGTGAGTTTAACATTTGCATAATGAACAAACCCCTCAAATTCATTGGGGCTGGAGAGATGGCTAAACACACTTACAGCTCTTACAGAGAACCCAGGTTTGGTTCCCAGTGCCCACATGGTGACCCATACTACATAACTACAGTTCTAGGAGCTCCAATTCTCTCTTCTGACCTCTGTGGCATCCAGGCCCATGTGTGGTGCACATTCATACATGCAGGAAAAACACCCCCACACAGAAAAAAATACAAATCATTCAAAAAATTTAAGATAAAGGCATATAGTTTATGTGTGTTAACAAACTGAGGAGAGAAACTTACTAATTTTTATTTGTGATTCTTATATCTGTTTCCTTTTCCTTAAATTTGGTAGTGGTGGCAGAGGGAAATGGGGGGGCTGTTGCACATCCACGTGCATTTGTGGAGTTGTTCTGGCTGGCCTTAGACACCTAAGTACTGAGTTCACAGTCATAACCCACCACTTCTGGCTCAGTAGTTCCTTATTTTTTTATTTTTGCACCTTGTTATTGTTCCTTTCTCTTCTACACATTTAATAGCATTTCTATGTGTGCATCTGAGTGTCTGAGTTTGTGCACACTCATGTGTATGACATATAATGTATATGCTCCTGTGTGTATAGGCATAGTCACCCACTCATATACTCAGGGATCAGAGAAGACAAGGAGTGTTCTACTCTATGAGTATCTGCTTTATTCTTTTGAGATAGGGTCTTCTGTTGAACCTCAAGCAAGGCTGGTGGCCAAGAAACTTCTAGTAATCCTGCCTGTCATATCCTACCCTCTACACATAGCACTGGAGTTATGGTGCCCAGCTTCTTACATGGGCTGGGGGGATTTGAACTCATGTCCTTCTATTCACACAGTAAGTGCTCCTATAAGATGAGCCACCTCCCCATTCTAATTATGAGTTTAAGTGGGTCCTATGGCATGATCTGTCAAGAACCCATCAAAAAGTTGGAGATGTTCTTAAAAGATAGTTTTCCCAATGAGCTTAAGACCCTGAAGAAGGCTGATGAAGGAATGGGGGAAAACAGCAGATATCAAAGGTATTGATGAAAGAGAAACAACTTATACAAGAGAATGGGAGAAGCACTCAAAAAGGAAAGACTGTATAAGCAGTCAGCTGGTCATGGTGGTGAATGCCTGTAACTACAATTCCAAACTTTTATTGCTATAACCACACTTCTCCTTTTGCGGAATGCAGATGAGACAGCATTTCATTTAAGTATGAATCTCTGTATTTTTATTTTATTTGATACAAGATCATGGAGGACTATCTTGAAAATGAAAACAGATTCTGAGCTTGAATTATTGAACAATGTTACTACTGTCAAAACTTAGGGGACCATTGGAGTTAATGTAGTTTACATGGTAAAAAACCTATGAGCCTATGTGAGACAGAGAATGCTAAGACTTGAAGGTGAATTGTGCCCTACAGGATCCTGTTTTGGGTCCTTCGACCCCAGTTTGTGGGATTATTTGAAAGGGTTTATAGCCTTTAGATAATGGGACCTGGGTATCAAACATAGGTCTCTAGGAGCAGGCCTTAGTTATATTTACCACTCATCTTGCCATGACCACTGCTTCCTCGTCCCCAGGCATGTGAGTACACAACAGCATAGACAGAGCTGCTATTATCATCATGCCTTTCTTATTCTGGTTAACAGCCATCCTCAGAAACCATAAGCCAATATAAAATTTTTCTCCCTTAAGATATTGATATCGGGTGTTTTGAAACAGCAGAGGAAGAAGCTAGTAGAGCATTGCCCTCAGGGTCAAAATCTTAGCTTAAAGTGGAAGCTAATTCACTATTCTCTAAAGGGCTTTTTCACTGTAGTTTTCCTCTTAAGTATTCCTGCGAGGATTCAAATAGGCTCTTCAAAAGAATTTGATTTGGTGAAAAGCTATGCTCTAAAGAATTAAACAGAAACCAATTCCAAATTATAATTTTTACATTAAAAATAGAATGGGGAGGTTGTTTTCTCCTCGAAACAGGTGCAAACTATTGAATAGTCCTTACATGTCAATTCAACCTTCAGGCATTTTCATACTGACATTTGTTGTTATGGAATGACTTCTGAAATGTCACAATTTCATGTATTCTAGCCCATTGTCAGACGCACCAAAGAATTAAAATTGTATTATTTCATTTGTTCCTTTGTACCATTAAAAGTAAGCAGCAAAGATGTGATCGTCATTTTATAGATGTTCATAGACTTCTCAGACCATTTGACAAGACAGTAGACAATTAGGCTCTTGGTGCAACATTCTTATTGGTTCTACTCCATGACCTTCTGCTGAACAGAGTACTTTTCTGGCAGTTTGGTAGCCTATAAATTTACTTGTAGGTAATTGAAGGTGACTATAAGTTGTTTAGTTTGTAAATCAAAGTTTATTAGTCAAAATCTCTTTAAAAAGCAATTAAGAAGTTGGGAACAATAGTCAATGAAGATCATAAGTGATTATAACCTAATAACTTGAAGAAATCATTATATGTAAGGATGCAGGGATGCAGTTCAGCCGCTTCAGCTAAAGCACAAACATTTGTACTACCTACTTTAGTGCCATCTGCCAGTCTATGTCTCTTGATTTAACACCTTTAAGTTTGTCTCAGAATATAGAGCCTTGTTCCTTCTCTATTTCTCTATGCCATACAAAATCTGACCTTGACATTAACCTAAAGACCCCCCTTTCCAAAAGAAGATACTTGAATAATGGGCTAGCCTCTCACTCCATTCTCCTGGAGGAGATTCAACATCTCACACAAGTGACATCCAATAAACATATTATTAGTATTTCTGCTTTGAATTTAACTCTCTATCTACTTAATCTATGTCAATTACCAACTAGCTACTTCTATCAATACCTTAGGGTTGGATAATTTTCATAAGACACAGATGAACTAACTCACCTAGGAAGTAACCGTATCTCATACAACTGTGTCAACACTTAGCAATTTAAAATGTTCTTTCTACTAAAAATACCTTCCCCACTAGCTCTTATTCTTAAGTGTTTTCTTACTGTTAAGCTTGTTGCTTATCACTTTTAACTCCACTTCTAATCCCGTTCCATAGAGCAAGCACACTTGATTCAACAGTCCATTTCTTGAAAAAGTTACATCTTAACACTTCTTAACACTTGCATATAATTATACAATCAAGGCAAATAGTGAAATGCAAGAGGCTAAGCAGACCCACATATTATGCGCTTGCAGCATCTTCTTGTTCTGACGTTGAAGAATAACACTGTCCTTTGCTTTACAGAAGCTTTTCAGTTTCATGAGGTCCCATTTATTGATTGTTGATCCTGGAGCCTGTGATGCTGGTGTTCTGTTCAGGAAGTTGTCTCTTGTGCCAATGAGTTCAAGGCTCTTCCCCACTTTTTCTTCTAACAGGTTTAGTGTGTCTGGTTTTATATTGAAGTCTTTGATCCATTTGGACTTTAGTTTTGTGCAAGGTGATAACTATGGATCTATTTGCATTTTTCTACATGTATGTATCCAGTTAGACCATCACCATTGGTTGAAGATGATATCTTTTCACCATTGTGTGGTTTTGTCTTCTTTGTCAAAAATCAGGTGTCCATAAGTTTGTGGGTTTGTTTCTGAGTCTTCTATTCGATTCCATTGACCCACCAGCCTGTTTCTATGCCAGTACCATGCAGTTGCTTTATAGTACAGCTTAAGATCAGGGATGGGGATACCTCCAGAAAGGAGGGAACAGCCTTTACCAGGCCACAGACAATGCAGCCAGTCCTGATGAGACCTGAGCTAGGGACAGATGAAAGGGGAGGAGGATCTCAGCTATCAGTGGACTGGGGGAGTGGCATGGGAGGAGAAGAGGGATGGAGAGTGAGAGTGGGAGTGGATGAGGGAGGGGCTACAGTTGGGATACAAAGTGAATAAACTGAAATTAATAAAAAATAAATAAATTTTTAAAAAAGAATAACACTGTCCTTTACTGTTCAGTCTTGCCTAAGGCTTGGTCTTGTTGAAAATTCTAGAATGGACTTTCAGGTTTCTCTTGTTATAATCTGTTTGAGTTAATTGGTAGTCTATGCTATCTAAAACACTAACAGTTTTAACAAAATCTTACTAATTTATTATGGAATAATCATAAAACCCATATTTTAGAGTTCTACTTGGATTACTTTCTATCGTTTAGTGTGTCTATCATGATTGCAGAGCGTCATTTGTTCTTTCTCATGTAAATCCCTCACCAAATAGAATTTATAATAGACAGGTAGCTTCTCTCTGAATATCATTCCTGCTTTTGTTCAATTGTTTATAATTTTAGTTTTATTTTGACAGAATATTATACCCCATTTTCTACAGTTCAAATTTCCATGGTGGCAGTATGCATTTTGCATAGTTGTTCCTAAGCCCTTACTTAAAGTGTCAATCTAGATCATGCTTTTTAGCTTTCACATAGTTTTATTGTTATTATTTTTGGTAAATGTTAAATTGAATGTGGAGATAATCTTAACTGTTTTGCTAGTTATAATAATTAATATTCATTAACATTTCTTACTTGCTTGGAAAATAAACTATTTTTTTTCTTTCTCCAATTGGTTTAGGTTAATTTTCAGCGCATCGGCTATTTGCTGCTTTGTCTGTACTTGCATACTTTGAATCTTTTCTATATTGGGAAAATAGGATTCAATTTGCTTTTTAAAGCTATCATAACAATTGTCTTACAGTACACTGCCTACTATAATGTGTAATTAGCCATAGGAATTACATTTACACACAATTTTCAAGTGTTCTATTTGTATTTTGTCATGTATCTATCATGTTGGTGAGCTCTGAGACCATTTGTACTAAGATTAATAGTAATCTTTTTAACTATGATGTGTTTTAGGAATCTACATAAGTTGGTAAGAAGGCCATAATGTTTGTCCAGAGAAGTCAAGGGATTGGATGGTATAGCTTGGTCTAATCAGTGAATTTCTTGCACATGTGGAAGATTATTGTGCCTCAATACCAATCTACATCCTAATAACAAATATTGCTGGTTAAGGTTGTAACAGTCATACTTCATGAAGACCCATAACAATTTTGCTTAAACTCAGTTATGCACAAGAAGATATGCACAGCCCAGTTCCCAATGTTGACCATCATCTCCAGGTTGATGACTTAAGTGCTTCATTTCCCATTGATAAAGTCTTTGTAGAGCCCTGTCTTGTCATTCTAGAACCTCTTTCCTTGGTTTTTGTTACAGCCTTCCTTTTCCATCAGAGGACAATATTGCAAAAGTTTTGCAGCATGCATCAGCATTTGTGTGAGCAGTCTTTCACTGAAACATCTTGTTCCAGAATTCTCAAAGATTTGGTCCCAGTAAACCTGGAAAACTTTTCTGTACATCTCTATTGCATGGTAGATGCTGCAATTTCACAATTATTTACTTTACTCTGCCGTAAGAATCTCTGTCTTTAAGATGTAATGCCCCAATGTTGTAAATATTGAAAATATTCACTGTAATAACATACTGGGGAATACGACCCTTAGAATTTCCATTTATTACAGAGCAGTGACATTGGGTATCAGCATGTGGTAGAGTTCATCAGTTTGACACTCTATTCTTAGGGAGGTTCTTTTCTTTGCTGCTATTTGATCTTATCTTGAAAAATCTTCATAATATGAGTAAGGCCACATTTAACTACATTAACTAAAGCCAGTCTTTTTAAGTAAAACTCTAGAAAAAATATGGTTTTGCCAAAAAAGAAATCAAGGCTTATCTACTCTAAAAGTTTTTAATAATGAAAATAAGCAAAACTAGACTAAAACAATTATTGCTGAATCCTAGAAAATAGAAAATATTTGAGAAAGAAAAATGGTGGTTTTCACATGCTGGATCTTACTCACTTTCTGTATCATCACTTATTTCAAGGAGTATATCCTCATATATGCTGTTCATATCGATCATAGTTTCATCCATATCAAGGATTAGGTCTTCATCTTCTCTGACTGACAGTATTGATTCTAAATCAGAAAGATCAGCAAGATCTGGTAGGAAATCTTCCCCAGGAGGAGGGGCGACTGCTTCCGCCTCTTCTGCTCTAACATTCTGCTGGACAGAGGGAGCTTGTTCCTGTGAGATAAACTGCAACAGCTCCTCTGCTATCCTTATTAACTGGGCTACACAGTCAATAAGTCCTGCAACTAGTGAAGGGATTGACACGGACTCCATGACTCAACCTTCTTCCCAAGAGATCAAATACTGCTCAAAACAAATAAATTATTGATAAATGTGGATCTTGTGGAGCTGATCAACAGTCTCTCTGTTGGCTTAGATGAGAAATGAGACAGGTGGTGTGATTATGATGGTGATCAAGTGTAGAATGAGCCTAGTGGAACTACAAAACTTTCTGTGGATGTTAGATAACCTCTCACAGAATGTCTGCTGTAATCACCACCAGATTGTCACTTCCAAGACGAAACAGCAAATCAGATCTAATAATGGAAAAAGAAAAAGATCAGTATCCTTGTTCCTTTATCCATACGGAAGGTTATAGCTACAGGATACAGTTACCAAGAATAGACCATGATGTTAAGGGAGATCTCTAGCCACTGTTATTCCTTATTACAACCTAATGAGGATCTATTGCCTCTCTTTTCCTTTGGATTTCCCATGATATTTATGTTTGCTCAGGGATTTCAGAATAAAATGAGTATAGGTACTTTGCATATTTCTCCTGAACCTCTCCATTAAGAAGGCTTGTACCATCACTCAGTCTTTAACTGTTTCTGTTAGCATCTTTGACCCATTGCTAGTTATATATAAACTGCTAAATGCTATGGTGTTTTTAATTATTAATTCATTAAAGTTTCCAGTTGTTCTGCATCCTAGAGACAGATGTTGTGGCACAATCAATTGTAAAAGTTGTTCATTTATTCTTTTTAATTAGGCTACACAATCAACAACTCTAACAACTATTAGAGGAACTAACATTGATTCCACATCTCAGTGGTCTTCTCAATAGACAAAATATTAATAAAAACCTATAGCAAATGGTCTTATGGTGATAATGAAGCCTGTGAAACTGGCAATGGTTACTTAGTTGATTTAGATGAGAAATGAGGATGTTAATTTGATTTTGGTAGTGACCAATTATTGTATGAGGCCAGTGGTGCTACAGAACTTGTTAATATTTGGGGATTTTAGGATACTAACCATAAACATAAAACAAATTCACTGCTAACAGAGACATGAATTGATTTTAAAATATCATACTTAATGAAGAAGCTAGATACAATAGAGTATACAATAATTCATACACAATTCTAGAAAATCTATGGCACAAAAAATAAGAGAATAATTGTGTCTAGGGAAGTGAAAAGTAATTAAGAGAGGCAAAAGTGAACTATCTAGAGTGGCATTAATGGTTATATTTTACAGAGTTTAGGGTTATGTGAGAATATGAAATTGCTGAATTTCATTGATTGCTGGTGTTAAAACTTGTTCATTTCACTGTATGACGCCCTTCCTTAAGTAACCAAACAATTAATCCCCTACCTGAAAATATTATGTCACATGAGATGCAATGCCTATAATATTGCAATAAATTCTAAAATTTTTGGAAGGAAGAAGGCCTATTACATATAAAGCACAAAGAAACTAATTTTGCCTTTAGTGTAGCCAACCCTCAAAAATAAAATAACTATTTGAAGTTATGATTAGGAAAACTGAGAATTATTAGGTATTAACTATCTTACTTATGGCTAGCCACATGGTGTGGAAGAGAAGTCATCTTAGGACTAACCTCCAAAGACATCTCTGACATCTTATTCTCCTAAACAGGAACAGAACTGAGAATATTCCTTTCATTTGATGTCCCTAGAAACTGGGTGAATTCTGATGGAGAGAAGTGGACCAATCTCCTATGTAGCCCACACCACTCTCAATTGTTTTAGGGATATGTGAAACTCTCCACATCTGACATGCTGAAATTTTTCTAACTTATTGAAAGCTACTCACCTGTGATAGAGCTAAGTTGGAGAAAAGAGTTGTGGCTGTGCCTAGAAAATGATTTCAGGAGTTCTGCTTTCAATAGGCTGCAAGTGATCCTACGACAACAGAAAATAACCCAGAAAGAGAGAGAAAAGAAACAAGAAAAAATACAAAATTAGTAGGTGTAAGGATATCAGAAAGAGGTGGAGACAAGTATAAAATGCAAAGAGACATCCCTAATGTGAGCTGGCAGGAGCAAGCATTTTCTTTTTGTGGCATTTGCTAATCTGGGCACAAGTTGAAAGACAAAGCATGGTCCAAAGGCAAAAATTCTCTACCAAGGAATGGGAATGTCAGCATAGCTGTTGGTAATTTCAGATGATTAGCATAATGGAAGCTTGAGGTATGCAAGGCTAGTTTTTCTTACCTGAAATTAGTCGAGGTCTAGGCTGGCCCCTGGGCAGGAAATTCTCACAACAGAGATGGGTAGTGCCACAAACACACTGCAAGCCTCTTTCTCAAAATGTAAACTAAATTTTGAAGACAGAGGGAAATAGAGGAATCAATAAACTCAATACTACTTTTGAAGGACACTTTAGCCAAAATTATTTATTTGTATGTATTTATTTATTTATTTATTTATTTATTTATTTATTTATTTATTTATTTATTTATTATGATTTATTCACTTTGTATGCCAGATGTAGCCCCCTCCCTCATCTCCTCCCAGTCCGTCCCTCCCTCCCTCTTCTCCCCCTATGCTCCTCCCCTAGTCCACTGATAAGGGAGGTCCCTCTCCCTTTCTATTTGACTCTAACCTATCAGGTCTCATCAAGGCTGTCTGCATCACCTTCTTCTGTAGCCTGGCAAGGTTGCACCTTCCAGGAGGGAGGTGATCAAAGAGTCAGCCACTGAGTCCATGTCAGAGACAGCCCCTGCTCCCCTTACTAAAAACCCACATAGAGACTGAGCTCCCTATGGGCTACATCTGAGCAGGAGGACTAGGTCCTCTCCATTCATGGTCCTTCATTGGTTCATTGATCTCTGCAGACCCTACTGGGTTCAAATTATTTGGCTCTGTTGCTCTCCTTGTGGAGCTCCTGTCCCCTCCAGGTCTTTCTATTTTCCCTTTCTTGCTTAAGATTCCCTGCACTCTGCCCAAAGTTTGGCTATGAGTCTCAGCATCTGCTTTGATATCCTGCTAGGTAGAATCTTTCAGAGGCCTTCTGTCGTAGGCTCCTGTCCTGTTCCCTGTCTTCTCCCACTTCCCATTTCTATCCTGTTTGCTCTTCTGAATGAGGACTGAGCATCTTCCCTAGGGTCTTGTTGTTTAGCTTCTTTAGGACTAGAGATTTTAGTATGTTTATTCATAATAACCAGAAGCTGGAAACAACCCAGATGTCCCTCAATTGGAGAATGGATACAGAAATTGTGGTACATTTACACAATGGAATACTACTCAGCAATTAAAAACAAGGAAATCATGAAATTTGCAGGGAAATGGTGGGAACTAGAAAAGATCATCCTGAGTGAGGTTTCTCAGACACACATGGTATATACTCACTCATAAGTGGATATTAGACATACAATATAGCCAAATTTATTCTACAACATATAAAGAGACAGACCTCTTAAGGAACAACATTGGGAAATGTATACTACCAGATATCAAGCCTTAAACACAGAAAGGAAAACATTGCACATTTTTTTCTCCTATGTGGAAGCTAAAAATTGTCAATAGAATGTATAACACTAGCTGGGCATGGTAGCACATGCATTTAATCCCAGCACTTTGGGAGGCAAATGTAGGTAGATCACTGTGAGTTCGAGGCCAGGTGGTCTACAAAGGGCAAGGCTACACAGAGAAAACCTGTCTCAAACAACAAACAAAAACAGGAAGGAAACTGGGAATGGTCACAGGGAAGGGGCATAAAAGGAGGTTAGATAATGGCAATCAAAACAAAGCTAGACTGAAGGAATATGTATGTTCTGGATTTCTATGGCAGAGTAGGTTCATTACAATAAGCTGCATATTTTCTGATTAACTAGATCAGAGTAACTCAAATGTTCCAATTTTGAAGAAAAGACAAATCCTAAAAAAGTCATGTTAATTACCCTATTTCCATTAGTGCATGTCAGTCCAGCAATGATAACTTATGCCTCTAATCCCAGCACTCAGGAGGGAGAGGCAAGCAGAACTCTGTGAGTTTGAGGCCAGGCTAGTCTACAGAGTGAATTCCGGGACAGTCAGAGCTACAAAGAGAAACCCTGTCTCAAAAAACCAAAGAAAAGAAAAAAAAAGTTATCAGTGCATGTTTATGTGCATACAGAAATATTATGTTGTATACACATACAGAAGTATTATGCTATACATCTATCTATGTACACTACATGTTAATAAAAATTAAATTAAAAAAATAAATAAAAAATAAAAATATCAAGGCTGAACTTATGGCTACAGAGGTTAAGATCACATAGTACTGATACATGGACAGAAAAACCAAAGAAACCATGACCATGGTCATACATCAAATGCTAAAAACTAGTTTGAAATTGACTTAAACCTGAAAGATGAAATAAATATGTAGCTCAAACCATAAGAAAAAAAAAAACTTTCGTGATCTTAGGAAAGCAAGAATTTATCACATATACTCCAAATTAGCTAAGAGCACTCATCTATCAAAAGATACCTTAAGAGAGTAAAAAGGTCAATTATAAGGTAGGAAAAGAGTCAGAGAGCATTCCCAATAGAACGTTTATACCTACTCTGGGCATATATTTTTAACCCCTACAAATCAATTAATGTAAGACAATGTAAATATCAAAACAAAAACAAAATAAATTACTACTTCATAGAAGAGGATATTTACATGATCCATCAGTACACAGTTAAGCATTTGTCACTATTACTCATCAGAGAAATGGAAATTCAGTCCATGCAGAGATATAGCAAGTCCCACAAGAATAGATACGTCGAAAGGACCAATCATCAGAAGCACAGAACAATGGGGTCACTGGAACTTATACAGAGTTGCAGGTGAATGTGTTGGCTTGTACCATTACTTTGAAAAACTACCGGACAGTATAGACTAAAGCTAAGTCTACCTCTGTCTCATGAACCTGTAGTTTCACTACTCAGTACATAACCAAATCAGAGTGTCACTATCTACCGGAACACATATAAAACAAATGTCAAAAGAAGCCAGACTGTAACAATATAGCATACCTCCCATCATTTC